CTCTCCTTGTGGTCCCATGGCATAGTGCAGCCAGCTCTCCTATTCTGAGTCACTCCTTCATCCTGCATTCCCCAAAAGCCATTCCTGCTCCACTGCTGCTATGACAGCCCCTCCAGCTGCACTTTGCCAGGATCGTGGCTCCATCCTCGCCCTTCCTATGCTATTCCATCACCACCTGGCAATGTTGGAAAGGCTTACACAAACCCATCCCACACACCTGCATCTTGGATTTGGGTTGATTCGGCTTACACAAACCCATCCCACACACCTGCATCTTGGATTTGGGTTGATTCAGCTCAGTGAGAAGAGAAAGTGGTAGGAACAGTGAAGAAGGGAGTCGGGTCATGGCTGAAGAGCAGCAAAGGAGAGCAGATGAGGGTTTGTTTATTTGTTTTAAGAGGGATTACTTTGCAAAGCACTGCTCACCCGAAAGACAGCCAGCTCTCCCCATTCATACAGTGGGTGCTGCACTCAGCGTGGTGGCAGCTGGGGACACACTGCCTGTCCCTGTGTGAGCGTGCTGTCTGCTCCTGACCTCTGACATAGCTGCAGCAAGGTTTAATGCCTTAAGTCCTGTCTGAGCAGGAAGTTATTAGATCGCACTGCACGAGGATTTAAGGCAGTCACTATATGGACAGTAGGGGCTGCAAGAGTGGGTAAGGATGAGATGCCCTGGGGGTGTTTGGGGAAGAGGAAGGCAGGAAGAAAACAGACTGCTGCAAAGGGAATCACCCCTGCCCGAAAGGTCACCTCCGTCTCTCCCCTCTGCTTTCATCCCTGTCCTCTGTCCTCAAGGAAAGGATGGGCAGTGTGGACAGGGATGGAGGGTTCCCAATGGGCACCACACAGCACCACCAGCGGCCCCGTTGGTCCCGATGAAGGGGCAGTGGTGATGTTTTCTCCCAGTTCAGCTTTTCCCATTCCAGCTGCCAGCTCATCCCACCATCCCAGCCAGAGGAAGGGGACGCACACAACCCTTTGCACCCCACATCCTCCAGGCTCCATCCGCAGCGAATGGTGAGACAGGGCCGGGAGCCCCTGCAGGAGAGCCAGCACAACCCTGGGATCCAACACAGCCAAGCACAATCACAAAGCTGCAGGCACAGACCTGAGAGAGCATTAAGCAGCATCGTTACAGCTCGGCGTTCTGCCGGGGGTGACATTACTGCAACTTGAAATGTTTGGGATCGGAACTGCCGCGTCTATTCTTTTCTGTGGCTTTTGCCTGGGCTGCATTTCCATTTTCTAAAGAAAACACCTGCTTGGCTCAGACAACCTCCTGCACTTTGTTGCTTAGCACTCTGGGGCTCTTCTTGCCTTGCTGCTCCCCTCTGTGTGCCAGGTGTGGGGCACACGCAGAGCCCCAGCATCCTCCTTTACCCATCCTTCCTGGCTTCATTCACTTCTTTTTTTTTCCCCCTCCGCTTTTACTTTCTGAAGTTGAATGACACCACGCTAATTTGCAGCCCGATTCCTCCTGAGGACGTTGAGCTTAATTATATTTTTCTCATCATTAGCGAATGGCTAGGCTATAATTACACCTGGAAGCATGTTATTTAGGACTAACCCGAGAGCAGCATCCCCTCCAGTGCTACGGGACCGTGAGTGCGGAGCTGAGCGCGTCCCAGCGCTGCCCATCACACCAATGCCCATTTCTCTGATGGAAGTCCAACCTCTTCCTCCAAAACTCTGAGATGGAAGAGCCTGCTGGCTCAATGGCTGGATGTTGTGTTTTAGCTGCCCGTGGCACACCGGTGCCTATGGACACGGTGGGTATCAGTGTGTTACTGGGGAGATGGGGTCCGGTGTCTTCAGTGCATCCTTCTTCCAAGTGGGCTCATGCTTGGTGGGGTGGGGAATGAAGCACAAAGTGGACACCCGACACATTCATTGTAATGGGGCAGAACGGGGCTCCCCGGATTGGAAAAAACCAATAGCTCATATTGGGGAATATTGGGGAAGAGGAAGGCAGGAAGAAGAGTCTGCTGCAAAGGGAATTACCCCTGCCCGAAAGTTCACCTCCGTCCATCCCCTCTGCTTTCATCCCTGTCCTCAGTCCTCAAGGAAAGGATGGGGAGTGTGAGCAGGAAGGATGGGGAGAAACATTTGTTTTCCAGCCCTGAACGCTGCCTCTTCTCACCCAATGACTTTAGAGGAGCAGGAGGATAGAAAATGTTCTTTCCTTTTTAATTGCGTTAGGGAAAATTTAGGAGAATCATCTACGGAACCTGCAAACTGCTCCTGAAATGAGCTTACATTTCTGTGTCGCAGATCACATTGTGCTTTGTGCAGACTGAAACAACTTGAAGAATCCAATTTACTTGTCTTCAGCACACTATGTTTTTAGCCTACTTTCCTCAGGAAATGGGGCTCGCTTATGCGATTGTGCTGTTTATATATCTATACGCCATCACTCCCACACTAATAACTTCTGAACGTGTTGGCCAATTCCAACCAAATCTGACAGAGAGGCTGAGTTTTCAAAAATACTGAATCCTCACAAATTTAATGAAATCTGTGGGTGGCCACATATTTTTCCCCCACCGAGGGAAAGGCTGTGCAGCGAATTCAGCCACATTATTAGACAGGAGAGCATACACATTCACGTGCACACACGCACACAAAGCCTGTCCTGGAGGTTGATGGTAAGCCAGTGGCTCTCGTTGGTTTTACATGTGGAATATTGCACCTGTGAGCCCCAAAGGGCCACAAACAACCCTTTGCTAATGTACCTACTGCCTATTTTGTGCTTTTATTTCAGCTCGGACAATGCAATTTGGTGTGGGCACTGCAGGGGTGTGTTGATCCATTTAGAAGCTTGAAAATGAATCATGTTAATTACGTGGAAGCCTTTCTAGCCGGTCGTAAAACCTTGCTGTCTTCTGCTTCTGCATGCTGGGGTGCAGCCGAGAGCATCCGTGTAAGAACTATTACAATGGGAAAGAGCTCAACAAGAAAGCCTGTGCATTTCAGACAGAACAGGTTTCCTGCTTCCCACTTCCATTTGGCAAATTGCAAACACCACAGAGTCCCCAGCACCTTGAGTGTGCACAACACCGAGTCCCACTTCCTCTGTGCCTCCAGCAAATCCTAAGCCCCGCAGGCGTGCTTGAATGCAGCCAGACAGCTTGGCTCTTTGCTGCTAAGTTTTGGGGCTTTGACATGAGCCATTAATGCAGGTGGAAGGATGGGCGTCATGCGCAGACGCTACCCCAGCACTAATGCACTGCGCAAGTCACGTTGGAATCTGCCCATCCCCATCCCCATGTGCTGCACAGCAGAATCAATACAGGGCTTTTCAGCTCCCCCACACACCAGAGGCAATGTTTGTGCCATCAGAAGAGTAAATCCTGGTGTGGCCACGCTTTCTTGTGTCTGTTCTGGAGCAGGAAGGGTAAAGCTGGGAGGTGGCAGTGTGGGAGGAAGGGGTCACGATGCTCGTGAGCGATGCCAAACTTGGGCTGCATCTCTGCTGGGGTATCCTTGAAGCAGTCCCGTTCATTTATTTCTTTGCAGCTTTACTAATGACTAACGGGGTCTGCTGAGTGGCCCTAAATCCTATTTGTCCTTTCTCTGGATGCACACATGGTCATGGGTTCCATGTTCCCCATCTGATATGGGGGCAGAAGGTGTTTGTGCCCCAGATGGATCTGATTATTTTTCCTCCTGCTCCTCTCTCACAATTAGAGGTGGAGCCTTACATGCCAACAACTCATTAAAGCATTTCCAGCCTGTGGGGGCCACATGTCTCCCAGCTCCTGCTCTCATGGTGTTCCAGAACTGGAACCACCTGGGGATACCCAGGCTCTCAGAAAGGAGATCTCCATTTCCAGGGTTCAGCCCACTGTCTCAAGACGTTCACATCGTCTCATCACACAGAAAGATCTGGTCTTTCCTCTGCTCTGCAGTCTTTTCCCTACCTGGCATTCGAGTGGGATTTATTTTTTTTTAAAGCTTTGACAACAGCTTGGTCCAACATCAGCTAGAAAACATCAAGTCCAAATATGCTCGCCAAGCAGGCCTGGGAGTCTCATTCACATTGCATATCAGTCATCAGCAGACATGCTGATAAAGATTTCAAGTGTGACACTGAATACAAATGATCCAGATCCAACAATTAATCCAGCACAGGAGACTGAGGAGCTGCCTGATTTTTTTCCCCAACCACCTGGGTTCTACGTGTAGCATTTGGTCAGAAAACAGAAAGAAAACCCCGTGCTTTAATAAACCACTCCCCAAAGTGCTGCAGAGATCCCTGATCTCAGCTGAAGAGCCTTTCCTCTTCAGCTCACCTCTCTTCTGGTTGCTCACTGCAGCTCACCATGCTCTATGCACATTCTGGGAACTGGCTACAAGGCACTTGAGTCGGACATGATTTTAAGCTAAACTAGATATCACCCTGTTGTTTTTTCTTTCCTCCTCTTCTGTTGTTTTTCAGCCATATCTGATCCCTGAAATGGCACAGACCATCCTTAGGGTGGTTTCTCTGGGCTGTGTCAGAGAGAGGATTTGGGGAAACAGCACTGCAGGAGCCCTTCTCCTATCAGGGTGTGGAGAAATGGGGAAGACAGCCCAGGACCTCCCAAGTGACAGCTGCCTGTCCCACCCAGGGACTCAGAACCCCAATCCTACCATGCTGCAGCCACCCTCACGTGGCTCTCAGTGAGTGCACTGCTCCAGTTGACTCTCTATTGCTGTTTTGGGAGTCGTGCGCCCTCAACAGTGAGCACGAGGAGCAATTCAGCCTGGATCCATCCCATTTTTGAGAAGAGTCCACAAAGTTTACCCGTGCGTAAGCACAAAGGCTTGGCTTTGCACAGATCCAAGAAGCAAGCCCACAGACGCAGCCAAGGCTGCACCATCAACCAACACCCACCTCAACATCCCCCAAGCCTCCAGCTCCACAACGCCTCCCCCAAGCAACTATAAGCCTCTATAAGACACAAACCTCCTCCCACGTCCCCCCACTGCCGCTGGGGCCGAGGTGCCCCGATGCCTACCTGGAGGCGGCGATCTCTGCTTTCTGCTTGGCGATGGTGGCCGCTCTCTCGGCCGCCTCCACGGCCCGATCCACCTTCTCGCGGATCTTGCTGGCCCGCAGCGGGATGAGGTTCTTCCTCTTGCCACTGACCAGGACGTTCTGCTTGTACTTGCCCTCCTCCTTGGTGCCATCGGGGAAGGTCATGCAGCCGTAGCCGTGGCGCTTGTTGTTGGCCCACTCGCCCTCGTACTTCAGGCCGTCGGAGCGCTGGCTCACCCCAAAACCCGACCGCTTGTCGTTCTTCCACTCTCCAACGTAGATCTCAGTGGTGGTGGCATCAATGTCGTCTTCGATGACAGACAGCTCAGCCTCGCCCTCGCCCAAGCTGATGGTGGAGTTGATGTCGCTGGCGGTGGAGCTGACCGTGCTCATCCCGGCCTCGCTGCGGAAGGAGCTCTGCTTGCTCCGCTGGCTGGCCAAGGAGCTCTTGGACTCGGACTTACGGAGCTTGAGCCCGCTCAGCAGCGACCGGCGGAAGATGCCTTTCTTCTTGCTCTTGAGGATCTCGGCATCGCTGTGGGCCATGAGGACAAAGCCACCTCGGGACACGGCGGGGCTGCCGGCCACCGCCGGCGAGGAGTCGGGGTGCAGGGCCGTGCCATTGGTGTGCTCGCTGCGCAGGGAGTTGATGGACGTCCTCAGGGGTGACCTGATGACCGCAGCCATGCCGTAGGGAACGCTCTGACGGACGCCGTACCCCTGGCGCATCCCTCCGACCCACTGGCCCTGATACGTCCCTGGGGAGGCAAAAGCAAAGAGCGGGTTCAAATTTTTTCTCCAAAAGTGTGGTGACACGCTGGGACAGCTGCCCAGGGAGGTGGTGGAGTCACCGTGCCCGGAGGTGTCGCAGAACTGTGGAGATGTGGCACTGAGGGACACGGTCAGTGGGTATGGCAGGATGGACTTGGTGACTTTAGTGGTCTTTTTCAACCTGAATGATTCTGTGATGCATCCTGTGGGAAGGAGTAGCATCAGCCTGCTTGAGCTGCTATTGCTGGGACCTGTTATTATTGGGAACGTTTGGGCTCTGTAGTGGAAATGCTACTTTACAGTCTGAAGCAGTGATGGAGCACCTGGTGGGAAGGCAGGGCCAACCCAGGGCAGCTCAGGTGTAAGCAATGTACCCAAGTGATTGGAAGGGCTGAAGCCAGGATCCACCCCTTCCCAGAACTCATTTAAGGTTCGACAGTGGAGATGAGAGCATCTCTTGCTGGAGATCCCTGCCTACTTGAAGCTTTCAGAAGGTAAGCAGTTATTTTTCTTCATTTCTGTCTCTATGGCTGCTGCATTTGGGCTCATTCTTAATTTGCAAGAGCCAATGGCTTTGCCACCCGTTATAGACTCCCAAAAGCGAAGTGCGGCTCTGGATCCCAACCCCATCTCTACAGTCATAGTATCCCAATGTGGGAAGAAAGTAAAACATCTGAGTCAATTTGCGGGTGTGCGCTTTAGCTGTTAGGAACCAGATGAGGCACTGGGGCAAATGGAGCCTTCTTCCCCTGGGCTTCCCTATAGATCCAGCCTGAATTTGGAAAAGGAAAGTGCAGGGAGGCTGGGATTGTCATCCAGGAGCAGACTCCATCCCGTCTGCTGCCGGCAGTGGTGAAAGCAATTGGTGTATTACCATGTATTTTTTTTCTGTACATCATGCTTTCATCCAGTATGCAGCGGGAGGGAGAGGCTCTATAGAAATAAAAGCCTCATGGGGATATATCTGTGTGGTTATTATTCTCAGAAACGTGCCCCTGCTTGAACTCCTCCATTTGCGTGGGCACTTGCTGGAGTTACCTAACTGGCAGTTTGCTGGGATGCACGCTGCATCTTGCTGTGCCTCGGGTTAAAGCCATCCGTGCTGGAAAATGGAGCCACAAGAAATCAATCCCAGGTAGGAAAACACCACCCAAGCACAGTCAGCATGCCCTGTGTACTGCAATGTGTAGTGGTAATCTGCTGCTTTCCTGCCCTGGGGTTGCAATCCCATCCCGTTGGCACGCTTTGTCATGTTATCCCTATCGGTTGAACTGCACAGCTTGTTTTTAATTCTTAGGTCAGCTTTAATCTTTTTGGGGCTGTCTCACAATGCAGTGATTCACCACCTGGCTAAGCCCTCGCTGGGTGGATTTGCAAGCCCTGGGCACACTCTGAGCCCAGCCTGGGGCAATGCCAAAGTAGGGTCCAGCACTGTGTGGTATCGGGGCAAGGGAGACTTAAATAGCCTTAAAATAGTGCCCCTCATGTGAAACAGCCCTGATAACAACAGCCCAGCAGATCCCCTCTGGCTCAGACTGATAGAGGCTTTCCATCCTTGCTCTGCGTGAAATGCTCTTTGCCCTTAGCCATCAGTACCTGTTGGATCCTCCTGAGCTGGGCAGTGGCTTGCCTTTCCCATCTGAATGACAACTTGCACCACCCTTCTGCAGGTTTAAAGGCATTTTATACACAGGGAAAAGCAGGAAGTGGTTAAGGCTGCTGTCTTTCCCCAGCACGGGCTGTGGTTCCCTGTGTATGCCCCCAAAAAATGCTTTCTCCAAGCAAAGATTGCCTTGGAGAAGGGTCACTGGGAGGATTTGCTCAGGATTTATAGGATTAGAGCTGGGAGGGAGGCAGAATGCTGGGATTAGGACTGGCACCTGCAGGGCAGGGTGAGGAGCAGAGCTTGGGCACAGGGCAAACAAGGGACAGACAGCAGGATGGACAGCAGGCATCTTGGGGGGGACATGGGACATGTCCTCTGGTTGGATTTGAGCATGTGAGGGGCAGGGAGAAAAGTCCTTGCGTATTGTCTATCAGAGTCTTCAATCTGATCCCCAGCCCCAGGAAGCTCCCAAGGTTTCCCCCCTCTCCTTGCAAGCCTATGGCTGAAAAACCAGGTTAAAATGAAGCACTGTAGAGCAAGCAAGGCCCTTTGCTGAAAGCCAGAGATGGTGACAAGGAGCAGAACAAAGCAGGCTCAGGGCAGGCGTGACAGCACATCTCAGCTGGAGTGGAGGCAGCAAATTGGTCACAGCAGGTTCCTGCTGCAGCAAGGCAGAGGTGCCCAGGAAGCTGTCATCTCTGCATGGCCTTAAAACCTACTCCTAAAGCTGCACGACTGCCAGGAGCAATCGCTGCATCTGCTTGGCAAGGTTTTCTAAGCAGAGGATGCAGGGATTTGAGGAGAGCTGCTCCATCGGCCAGCCCGTCCTGCTACTGCGCTGCCAGCGTCTCAGAGCTGCTCCCAGCACAGCAAAACCCAAACCTCACATCTGCCTCCCTCATAGGTGGAGGATTGCCAATGGGGATTGCCTCCCTGACGGCCTCTGGGACATCTGCATATCTTCGTGGACACCTCCAGATCATGGAGCTGAGTTCCCTCCCTCCTCCCTCTTTTGACTTTATTACCTCTTAAACCCCTCAATATCCCAGGATTTGGCCACGAAGGCTGGAAGCTCTCAGAGCCATCTGATCTGCATTGCTAAGCACTGTCACCTCCTCCCCTTGCACCACCTGGCTTAACCTCTGCCCTCTCACATTTGCAGATATGTGCACAGAGCTTAATCTCACAAGGAGCTGGGAGACTCTTTTTTTTCCCTGCAGAGGAAACAGGATTTTATTGCTTTCCGCTCTCTGTGCCAGGATGGACCAGCTATGGCTGTTTTGGAGCTGGGGTGCTGCAAAATGCAGTGGGACTAAGGATGTAGCAAGACAAGCACTTCTGATAAAAATGGACCCAACCTGAGCTGCAGAGCACCTCCAACCTCAAGGATTGCAGAGGAAGCATAGGATGCAAAGCATCTACTGCTTGCTGTGCTAACACAACCAAAGTCACATCCATTTCTGTAGCTCTTCCCTTGCTATCAGCTCTTGCAAAGTGCTTCCTAAAGCATGAATTGCATGAGATTAATGGGGTGATTACACAGGGGGAATGCAGCATCCCGAGGGCTGGGTGCAAGACATGGATGAGAGCAGATGCACAACATCTCAGTCACCGCTGCCCTGCTGAAAAGAGGGACAGATCCTGCGCTGTGAGTGAGAATTTTGTCATAATTTATCATAATGGCAGCAAAATAATGGCCCATGGGGATAAGCAGAGAGTTGTGTGCTGACTTGCAGTGGATTTACCCCAGGGAAGACTTCTTGACTCTCAGAGCAATTACTCTGGCAGGACTTGGCCCAGAACCAGGCGATGCCAAGAAGAGTGGGGCTGCAGGCACGCACATGAACGCGTCCGGAGGGGATAACCTGAGGCTAGAAGAAAATAAATGAAGTCATCCCAAATGATGGCTCAGCGAGAATGTTCCTCCACCAGAAAGAGAAGCTGGGTCGTGAAGAAGGAAACGGGATCACAGGGAAGATGGGGGAAGTTGGGAGGGGATGGAAACACGGAGAGAAGATGGGTGATGCTGTCACTGGCCACTGGCACGTGTGGTTTGGAGTCTGGTGGATTCTTGGCTCGCTCCCCTTGGAGAAAGGCTGGCTGCTTTCCAAATGGCTTTTCAAGCTCCCATGGGAATTTCCATCGCCCTCAGGACCGTGTGGAACCACAAGGAATAAGTCCCGTTGCTGAATCTCGAGCAGCTTGGATGTTGTAGAGAAATGACAAGCACCAAAGAGTAATCTAATTTGTTGCAGTTATTCAGCGCTTTCTCAGCACTTGGCTCAGGAAGTGGAAATTCATTCTGGGAAGAGCACAGGAGTCTGCAGGCGGCTCCTGTTGTCCCCACAGAGCCACCAGACACTGGGGTTGGCCCTACAGCAGGGCAGGGAACCTTGCACCTCACAGAAACAGGAACCCAGAGCAGAGCCCTCACATTCCCTGCTGCAAATGGGATCATGCAGCAGCATTCCTGCAACGTGGATGGGAAGAGGGAAGACCAATTTGATGGGTTTTTTGTTGTGTTTTTTTTTCAAAATGCTCTGGAAGGAGCTGAGGCACTGCAGACACCAGGAAGAATGATGTGTCTCATTGTTTGCTTCTTCATTTGCTTCTTCATCTCTGCCAAAGAGTTCTGGGGGTTTTGGCTAAAGGCGAAGACTTGTCTCTGTCCCTGTCTCATTGGAAGTGGCAACAAATGCACAGCTTGGTGTTGCTGTGCAGAGAATGCCACCAGAAACCTCACTTCATCAGTGCAAGTTGGTATCTCTTGCCAGATAATACCAGGGAAGGAGAGATGAATGCCCCCACTTGGCCTTTCTAACCCAGATATAATCTATGACACAAGGTGATGGCAAGGAACCATCCCCCTGTTGTGTGGGGAGAGCCTGTATTGCTGCCTGCTGCCCCAAGCCAGGGGGCCACCTGTGACCCACAACCTCATCTTGCTGCTGGGGAAAGCCATCAATATCTTGTGAAGGCCAGCAGCAATGTCCAAAGACGTCAGACAAATAAGCAATGTTCAGACAAATCTGGGGTTTCCTTAGGATCCATCCGAGCAACAAGCAAATGATGGAGGCTGCCAGGGGTAAGATGGGCTGTCTGCATCCCTGTAGCATTCACAGGGCTCCCCTGGGCTGAAGGTGGAACTGCTTGCTTGACCACAAACTTGGTCTGCCTGCAGTGGTTTTGGAAGGGGACAGGACATCAAAACCTATGGGGCTGCAATGGCTGCATTTTCTTTCCTCCTTCCCTCCCTCCCCCATACCCAAGGAGCTGCCATGTTGCAGGCTGCTGAGTCCTTTGGCTCTGCTCCAGGAAAATCATTAAGTATGAGCTTTAGGGATTGCAGACTGCTCGCTTGCTTCCCCCAAACCAAGCCCGCCAGCTCGGTGTCAGCAGGACAAAGCCCTGGCAGGGGCAAAGCACAAGGGAGCTTTGTGTGGATCTGCCCTGCCTTGCTCCGCTTCACTTTCTCGCATTGAGAAATACAAATAGCTCAACTTTGTGTATCAGTCTGAGGGGTTTCCAGGTGAGCTTAGCTGCATGGGCTACTATACAACGCAGGGCCATCCCCAAAGCATGGCCAGAGCCACCTGGATTGGTGGCTGTGTTGGATGAAGGCTGTCACCCAAACCTGCCAGCCTGTTTCTGCAACTCAGTGCAGCTCTGAACTGTGGTCTGTGCTGTCCGAAGCGCCCGTCTGCTGTTCACAACCCAGCAGAAGCAATTAGGAATTGTAAATTGCTGGTTTATCTTGTGAAGGATCCTTCCTGGGATGCTCACCCTCCTCTCTTATCGCTGACTAACACCACGTATTAATTAAAGGCATCCGATGGCAATAATTAGGCCAATCTCTTGAATTCTGACACAGAGAAAGTGGAGAGGAGAAAAGAGGGTAGGAATACTCCCCAAGGATGTCCAAAAACCATGGATATGTGGCACTGAGGGATGTGGTAATGGGCACGGTGGGGATGGGGTGGGTTGGGGTTGGACTTGGGGATCTCAGAGGTCTTTTGCCATGATAAAAACATGGAGATGCTTCTGCTGTGGCAGCCTGGCGGGTTGTTTGCTGCAAATACGCTTGGGTAAGTGCTTATACAGAGGAGGATAGAAGGTATGGATTTTTGAGTATGTAAATATGATCTGCAGGCACAAACACGTGACAGATGTTAGTCATTGCTTAATGTGAGGCTGGGTACAGGCGTGCAGGATGGGCACAGGGAGGGGAGAAGGGAGAGATGGGATTGGATGGGAAGGGAGAAATGCTTCAAACTGTTGGAGCTAAGACCAAACCCTGGCATTGCCAATGCTGATGGAGCTCACTGTGTGCATGTGACAGCCACCACCTTTCTTAAAGCAGCAGGTCCTGCAGCCAGGTGGAATATAGCTTTAGAGGAGTGGAGAACCCAGAAAATAGGTTTCCAGTTGTCCTAAAAGCATGGTCATCAGCCTTAGAGAACAAGCAAAGCAGCAGCACCCAGCCCCAGCTGGAGCAATACAATAATTTTAAGGAGGCCCGAGGCAGGACAGCTTTAGCAGGAGGGGTGGGAAACAAATTACTGTATAGCTCAGCACCTTCGTTATGGCTAATGTGCTCCTCACACAAAGCAGAGTGAAACTGGGCTAATGCTAAGGCTGCTAATCCCCCATCACGTAATCCTCCTCACAAACTCTCTGTTCTCACCCCATTTCTCAGCGGGGCTCACGGGACTCAGAGCTGCCTGCTGCAGGATGGGGTTTGGGTGAACCCAAGAGGGTTTGGTGGCACTATATCCACTTATCAGCCCCTCAGATCCCCAAATCCTTTCATTTACTGTGCAGTTCAGAGCACGATGAGGGTCTTTGGTACATCCCATCCCTTTGGGCAATCAATGCTCAGTCTTTGCAGCACCAATATCAACCCCTCAGATATAAATATTTTCCATCCACCTGCTGGTTATAACTGATAGTTATTCAGCTGTCTCACAAGATATGCCCCAACCCAGCACTGTCCCCTCTGGGATCGTCACCAACGCTGTCCTGCCTGGCTTCTACATCATCAGGTAGTGTCTATAGTAATGCAGGTCATCCATCTACATCAGCATTCCCTGATTCAAGACATTCAAGTTTAATCAGGTTAATTTTAAAACCATGGCTTTTTTTTTCCCCCCCTTCTCCCTAACAGAAGGCATTTCTAGCACTCAGCTGCTGGTTTCCAAGCCTGTAAGAATGACTTTTCTGCAATAGTCTGGGTGGGAACCTTGCTTCAAAAATGAAGCCGAAACATCTTACAAAAATCACATGATTCCCCAAGCTGGAGCTTCTAGAGAGAATGTTCTGCTCCAGGAGCAGATGTCACACAGCCCCACGGGACACCAGATCCGCTCCCTCTTGGCACATGCAAATATCCCATCATTTGCCTTAAAAACGATGAGAAAACCCAACTCAACCCATCCTAATGACCCCACGGCGCTGCTCTGCCCCGCTTCTGCATTCTTCTGCAGACCTCAGTGTTGAAGGATGGGACCCTGAGTCGCCATAAAGGAAACAGTCCTTGTGTTTTGGAGTGGTCTGCCCTGGAGAGAGGAGCTGGGCTCAATGATGCTCATGGATCCCTTCCAACTTGGTGCGGTCTGTGTTTGTATGATTGCAGGGCGATGCGTCCCAGCCTAAAACGCTCGGATGGAGAACTGCCCGTGTTGCTCCTACAGGGTGATCCCAGTGAAAAGGGTGAGGAGTGTCCATATGGCCACGAGTTAACAGAGATAATGAAGATGAAGTGGTGAAAGGGCAGCAACGCTGCACATCAGAACTGGAGGGGTCCCTATTACGGTCATGGGGAGGTGTGCTGTGGGGCAGATTGATCTGGAGGGTCCTGTGTTTTTCCCCTGAGGCGCTGCAGGCCAGACAAGGCACCAGAGCTGTCTGCCAGTTCCTGTGCCCTGTAATTTCTGTGCCCTGTACTTTCCCCTGGGGCCAAAACCCTTCCTCTGTCCTGAGCAGTACCTGAAACTAAGCAGCGTGTTCCAATGAGATCAGTAATTACCATCAGCCCGAGTCATTTATTTTTAACGAAGCTGGTCAGAATCTTCATTTTGTATTTTGGTTCATTTTTTTTACATCCCAGCATTTCGATCGCTGTTCTCCTATTGTCACCATTGTATCCCTTTGCAGGCACCCTCAGAGCCAAGCCCAGGTTGCAGGATGCTCTGCAAACCAGAATGAGCTCTGGGCTGCGGGCTGTGCCCCCTCCCTGGTCCTGCAGCATCCCCACTCCATCTCCGTGGTCCCTATGAGCCTCTTTTTGCTTTTGCACAGTAATTCCCATTTGCATCCATGGGAAAGTTCCCAACACATGCGCTGAGAGCACCTGGAAGTGTCAGCAATACCACTGCAGGGGTGAGATGGACGTGGAGTTGTGACATGGGACATGGAGAGGCTGCTCCCACCCCATCGCAGTGCATAGCAGGAAAATGTACCAGCCCAGGCCAAGAAATCCCACTTGCCTACTCACACGGCACTAACAATGAAAACACTAATTATATTTCACTTATCTATCAAAGGGATGATTCAAGGAGGTGAGTGGGCACGGAGCATTACACAAGATGAGCACCGAGGTGCGACTGCCCATCCCTTCGGGGTGGCCCTCTCCAAAAATGTGCATGGATCACACAGGTTGGGCTGGGGGAGACAACTAGAGGGATGGGGAACAGCTATGGGGCATGGGGGTGGGAACCTGGTGCCCAAGGACTGGATGGGCTATGGAGGCCTCAGAGAGAGGTTCCCCCATCCAACCCCTGTCCCATTGGGGCAAACAGGGATGGGAGAATGGCTTTGCCAGGGCTGAAATGGGCCCAGGCTGCTCCAGCAAAGGCGATGCAGTGGCACTGGATGACATTGCTGTTCACTCCAATGGATGCTTACCTTGATAGATGCTCACCCCAATCACCCTGATGCATGCAGCCCCTTCTACCCAGTACCCCTGCTACTCAACCTGCTACCGGCTGGGCTGAACCAGGCCCAGCAAATGTGCTCTGCAACCCCAGCATCCAACAAAAGCAATTCTCAGCTCTTGGTTTATATAATATCATCCTGCTGCTGGATGGGACAGGAGGCATCGAGCAGTTCTGGCAGTGGGACAAGGGCGCACGGATGGGAAAGAATGGTGCACACGTGTGCCACAGATGCACAGACATAGGCTGCATGTGCAGTGATGCCAGGGAGCTTCAGTGGTCTCCCTGAGGGGGCTGTGTTTGCTTATTGGTGCCCCATGCAGTGTGTTTGCATCGCTGTGCATGCAACCGCTTGGCTCAGGGAAGCAAGTTTGCACGGGCATGGGGCAGAGAGTGGGGGGGCAGAGCATGTGAGTGGGGGTCTGTGCATGGAGTGGGGAAGCGGCGTGGGGAGCAGAGGCGTGTGTGCATGGTGCTGAGCGTGGCAGTGTGGGAGGTGTGAGCTTTGCAAGCTGCCTGCGGGGGCAGCTGGTGTGGGGGTTGGCAGCACCCGACGTGGGGGGACGGTGCCTGGGGCTGTGAGCTGGGGGTGCTGAGCAGGGAGGCATCGTTTGCCGTGCCTGAGCTGAATGCATCGATGGATGCGTGCATGGCGAGATGCTGCATCCCTAAGAGCGCTGGTAATGGCTGGGGGAGTTTTGGGGTTGGTCCTTCACGCTATTGCACAAGGAGAAATTGGAGTGAAAGGCAGGGATTTGGTGGCACCTTGCTTCCTCAGCCTGGCTGTGCATTTAGGGGCCCATCCCCTAGGCCTGGTTGATGTGCTATAAAAAATAGCATGTAAGGGATGAATATTTATCTGTAGGTGGCAAGTGACAGATGCTGGGGCGAGGATTCTAGGATACTTCAGTTTGATGGAGGTAATAACTTGAATAGATTAATGAGAAACATCCTTCCTCAGAGCTGCCTCCCCTGTACCACAGCTACACGGTGCCCTTGGTGCAAACATTGGCTTCTTGCACCCGAGAGCACAGAGTTCACCAAGGTTTGGTTTCCAAAGGTCTGAAGGTGTCCAAATCCACCCAAAGTGGGGATGTGGGATTGGGAAAGACTCCCTGGCTGCTGGCAGCTGAGTTCAGTAAAGTGCATCCTACCTGTGCCAAAATGGGATCAGAGAGCGTGGGCATTGGGGGTGTGCATGGGATATCCCCATTCCCAGCACCTGGCCATGAGCTCTGCAGCTCTGTATGGCCCCATGCAGCCATTCCCTTCTCCCAGCACTGCGTACAGTCCCCAGGGGACAGCGTTTTGCTCTTCCCCTGCCCATCTCACACCTCCTCCTAATACCAAAGATGTGCATGGAGAAGCTTTTGGTCCTGAGCACAGGGAAGCTGGGCTGGCCTGACAAGATGGAAGCAGCAGCTGTTGGCTTCTGGTAGCTTCTCAGAGCAGTGAGCAGCATGCAGCCTGGCTTGGGCATGCACCCTGTGCTGTCCTGCGTGAGGTGGGGGGTGACAGAGGTGTGGGGCCAGAGCAGTCCCCAACACCATGGGCACTCCATACAAATGCCCCCAGTGGGGTCGGAATGCTGGGGGGGTTGGTATGGGGGCAGCACTGGAGTTCAGATCATGCAGAACACCACCCCCACCCCCTCCTGACCCCTCACTGTGAGCACTGCCTGAGTTTTATTCCCAGCAGAAGGATGTCAGATGTAGGGATCGCTCCCAAACCCAAATCCAACCAATCCCAGCATTATTCCAGGCATCTGAAACAAAAGGTGCAGCCGTATTTTCCTCTCAGAGAAAGCCCCCCCCCCCCCCCCGAGCAAATTATCTTTAAAAAGAAAGCGATCTCTTCTCCCTCTCCCTCAGAGAGCACAAAGAGCTGCAGGTACCACGTCTGATCATAGGGCAGCACCAGGCTTGCTGGAGAAAGCTCTCGCAGCACCTGTCAGGAAGGCTGCGACGGAGCTCAGTTCCTGCAGTCCCCTGACCGTGGCCATCCTGGTAAACCATAATGCCATAAAATATAAGGAACCCGCTTGGGGTGGTGTACATCCACCAGAAAACCAAAGCCCTGCTGCAGGGAGGTAGGCCTGGCTCTTATCATGGTGGCAATCCAGATGGAAGGACCCCGAAAGGCTACGGAGGATGATACAGCCACTTAAGGAGAGCACCAGCTGTTTTCCCTCGTTTGGCCCTAAAGCTCGTTAGCCCGGCGATTGCTGATCACTCCAATTGGGTTTTCTTGTTTTGTTTTGGTTTTTTTTTTCCCCATTTAATCCTGGTTTTCCCTTCCACATCTCGCTAAGCCACGTTGACGGCAGAGAATAGCTTCTGTGATCCCTCTGAGCCCCTACGCTAAGCATTAAGCCGTAAACTAGGAATGTAAGACTCTTGTCTGAATTAAATTCTTTTGCCTGGGCATTATTCATTAAGTGTGGGGCTGAAGGCAGGGTGTTCACGAAGCCCTCGGCCTTTCATATAAAGGGTTTGCTGCAATAGAGCTGTATGGATCTGCCCCAGACATCCCTGCATGCTCCGCTCCCCTCTGCCCTGCTTTGCTGCATCCACTCCAATGCAAATCCTACAGGTTACAGTGGTGCAGAACTGCCCTGTCCCATGTACAACTCGGGCTGCTCCCACCAGCTGGGCCCACCCCATCCTCCCTGCTTTGTCCTCCATTGCTCAGGTACCAGCATCTCATCCCCTCTCCCAAAAAAGCCTTTGTAGGTGCAGGCCTGGTGCTGTGACCAGCTGAACATATGGGGCTACCTCTGGCAAAGAGGTGGCCTGGTGCCATGCTGGCTGCTGCCTTATCTCCTGTGGGGCAGTGAGCAGCAAGCAAGCAAGCAGGTTGCCATGTCCCAGACTTCAGCTCAAGCCTGGGGGCTGAACATAAAGCTCACTGCTACCTACGCATCCATCAGTGGTACCCACACATTGCTGGTACCCAAATATCCCTCACGGTACCCACAGGCTGTTGGTACCCATATACCCATCATTGGTACCCATATATCCATCACTGGTACCCATGCATCCCTCACTGGTACACACAGATTGTTGGTACCCATGCACCCATCATTGGTACCCATACATCACTGGTACCCACGCATCCCTCAGTGGTGCCCATCCATCTCTGGTACCCACACATCCATCTCTGGTACCCACGCATCGTTGATCCCCATACATCCCTCGCTGGTACCCACACACCCATCGCTGGCACCCACACTTCCTGCCCCAGCTTGGGAGATATCAAGACACCACCTACCTCCATCCGAGTAGGTCTCAGTCCCGTAGCCATCCTGTAATCCATTGCTCCAGGTGCCTTCATACTTGGCCCCATTTCCAGTGCATTCTCGGACCCCGTACCGTCCCTTAAATCCGTGGGTCCACTCTCCTTTGTACACCCACTTCCCCTTGCTCTCCATGCCAATGCCATGGCGCTTGCCCTGCGCCCAGGTGCCCTGGTAAGTGTTGCCGCTGGGCCAAGTGTAGACCCCCAACACCTCAAAGCCGTGACTCCAGGAGCCCGAATATTCACCTTGACCCTTGGGGCCGGTACAGATTCCGTGGCCATGAGCCTTTCCGTCCTCCCAGCCTCCACAGTACGACCCTCCATCATCAAAATTAAACCTTCCCCCACTGGACATGCATGTAATTCGGTTTGCAAATCCCCCAAAAGGTGAAAAGAAAAAAGAAAAAAAGAATAATAATAATAATAATAAAAAAAATGATGCGGGAGAGAAAAGGAGAACGATGACTTGGAGAAAAAAAAAAAAGATAGAAAAATCAGGTTGCAATCATGCACCAGATCCAGCCGCTGCTCAAGCCAGTTCCTCGTGATTATTCATTCTCTGGGAGTGTGTTCGGGATCGGTTGGCTCTTCCCCTGCTGTGGAAACAGTATCATTAAAAAGAAAAAAAAAAAAAATAGCAGCAAGAACAGCGGCAGCTATTGGGTTTTGGTGCAAACGGCTCCACCTAAAAACCATCCACGGCAGAAAACGGGGGTGGAGGGGGAGAGAGAGAGAGAGAGAGAAGAAGGGGTGGGGGGGAATAGAAGAAAAAAAAAAAAAAAAAAAAACCCGCCCAACCCCCAAAGGGTGGGAAAACAAGGGGGGGGGGGGGGGGGGAGGCCCCCCCCGCTCCCGGCTCAGGCCGCCCGGCCCCGGCGCATGGCTCAGCAGCAATGCGGTTCCCCCACCGCCTCCCGGCCTCGCCCTACGCACGTCCTAAAAAGCCTCTCCCGCAGCCGCCGCTCCCCTGCAGCTCTGCCCGCCGCGGGAGCCGCTCGCTGGGGCCGCCCGTGCCCGCATGCTGCTCTCCGCCAGGCCCCGAGGGGGGGGGGAGCGCGGCCCGACCCTCGCTCCCCCTCCTTCCCACGGGGCTAAATCCTGCTTATCAACGAGCGAGGATCCTGGGCTGCTGCTCTGCCTCAGCTCCGGGTGGATTTAAAGAGACAGCGGCTGCGGCTGCCCCCTCCCTCCCTTCTTCCCTCCCTCCTTCTCTCCCTCCCTCCCTCCAGAAGGATGCTGCCGGGGTTGGATTTCTCTCTCCATCCCTCCCCGCTCCTTCCGTTTGGGATCCGGCACGCCGCAACCCCGCTTATTGATTCGCATCGCTCCAGGCTGCGTCCCCTCCCTTCGGCATCCCGGGGCGCTCGGGATGGTGTGCAGGGCCTGAGATGCCGGGCCCGGGGGGGAGGGGGCGGTTTACAGGATGGTGGGAGATGTGGGATCGTCCAGGAGCACGCAGTGTCCCCATCCTGCAATGCTTGTGCCAGGTGTTGGCAGCATCCGTGTGCCCGCTGCGTTTGCTTTCACACGCAAGTGAATGAGGGCCGAAGGGGAGCTCTGCTGAGAAGGATGATGAGGAAGGTGCTCCTAGAGTCAAATCTGGGAGCTGTGTGAAAAGAGAATCGCAGAATCCCTCAGGTTGGAAAAGACCCCCAAGATCCTCAGGTCCAACCCCAAACCCATCCCACCACGTCCCACAGTGCCACATCCCCGCGGTTCTGGAGCACCCCCAGGGATGGTGACCCCACTTCTCCCTGTGCAGCCCGTGCCAATGCATCACCACTCTTCAGGAGAAGCAATTGCTCCTAACATCCCACCTGGCCTTCCCCAGGCACAAGGTGAAGCCGTTCCCTCTCATACGGCCAAACACAGCGTGGTGGTTGGATTGGACGATCGCAGAGCTCTTTTCCAACCTTCACAATCATTCAGCTCTGCAATTCCACCCTTCTCCCAATCCCTTTCCAACCATGGGATTTCAGTCCCGGCATCTCAGCTGTGTCCCCCCGAGTCCCTCCTGCCTCCATGCCCACCCAATGCGAGCTTTGGGGCTGTGCTCCCCACTCCCCTTCTCTCTCAATGCATTTTCTGGTGTACAAAACCACCCTCATCTGGAGGAAGTCATCCTCCTCGCAGGAGCTGGAGGGAAGAGGAGCAGCCACAGTGGGTGGGAACTCTCCCACTTCAGCTTTTTTTCAGTGGAAAATGTATTTTCAAACCACGCTGTGTCCTTAATGTGATAACTGCACTCTATGCTTTCTTCTCCCCCAAAATTCCACGCTTCAGGTACTGCAGATTTCGGCAGCTGCCAACTCCCCCCTCTTTTTTTTCATGAAAGAGAAAGCCTGTGAGTGGAAACCTCCAAACTTGCCAAGGAAAACACTACCAATAAAGTGTTTAAATACAAGATTGGCTTCTAGGGTACTGCAGGCCTACCAGAATGGTTCCTGGTTTTTATCCAGGTTGGATATTAGGAATGATTTCTTCTCCCAAAGAGCAGTCAGGCACTCAAAGTGCACAGGGAGGTGGTGAAGGCGCTCCAGAACCATGAAGACGTGGCACTGAGGGACCTAATGGGCACGGTGGGATGGGTTGGGGTTGGATTTGATGGCCTTTGAGGTCTTTTCCTACCTTAGTGATTCTGTGATTCTAAAACCAGCCTTCATTTAGGAACTGCACATCTGTGTCTGAAGCGTGGGCAGTTTCTATGCTAAAAATATAGCCAGGTTTTGCATCTTTTTCTGTCCATGAGCGGGTTCTGGTTTTGCAGTGTGCCTGTTGTGCGTCCCACTGCCCTATGGCAGGAGGGGGAGTTGGCTGGGGAGGAGTGTGGTTGTTATCAAAGAATTTGTGATGAGCTTCGGGATGCTCAAGTAATGGCCAATGGCACGTTGGCAGTCTGGTTGGGTGACTGGGAATGCTGGGGCCATCATGGTGGGGAGGCCAAGTGCAACACAGCATGCTGCTGCCTCCAACCCTTCCTACACCCCGAATAAGTCTGTTTTTCCCAGACTTTACCCAAAGGCCAGGGTTTAGAATTGTCAAACTGTAGCATCATAGAATCACCAAGGTTGGAAAATACCTCTATGATCATCCTGCAGTGCCATTCCATGGTTCTAGAACACCTCCAGGGCTGTGACTCCATCACTTCCATGGGCAGCCTGTGCCAATGCATCCCCATTCCATCATCCACAGTTTTATAGCCCTGGGAACTCCTTTCCAGACCAGTTAGGATCTCTTGGTTGGTGCTGAGAGGAAATTCAAGAGGCCAGGCTGCAGAAGGAATCCTCCAGCACCTCTGCTGAACTTTGCAGACATTTCCCCGAAGGGCACAGACAGCATTAAGTAGAACTGCCAAGCTTTTTTAAATAACCGAGTGCATTTGTGCACGAGGAGAAGTGATTCGATGTTTGGAATAAAAGAAGAAAGTTGGGAAAAAAAAAAATACAAGGAAAAGCAAATCAGCTTATGGTAGTGGTAAGAACCCATCAGATCAAGGAACGGAGCGTAGAGGAGGGAGAAGAGAAAATGGGCATTGAGAAGGATCAAAAATGCAGAGAATGAAATCAGCAGCTGCAGCTGCTGCGGACAAGATGCTGGTGGGAAGGTGGAGCTCTGGGTGGAGCTCAGGACCAGCTCTGTCCTGCAATGAAGGAAAAGCATTTTGGCTCATAAATCAAATACAGAACATGAGCGAGACTCAGCCTTCTCAGCAATGCCATCTCAGCAGGTCTGTGCTTTCATGGAGTGGTAGAATCATGATGATTGGAAAAAAACACTCAGATCATTGAGTCCAACCCCAACCCATCACTGCCATCCTCACTGAGCCCGGCTGCGTCCAGCCATGGAGCTGAGCTGAGCTGCTCAAAGGGAAAACTCATAGGGGCCGAGCTGGGAGCACGGCAGCCTGATAACACGTAGGGGAGGAACAAAACGGTTCACATCCACTGGAAATCAATTCAATTTCAAAAATGAGTTGGGAAATGGAAGGATGTGAAGATCTCCGAGGATATCTCCATGCCTTGCCATCCTGTGAGCTGGGAGAGATGCTCCATGCCAGACCCAGAAGCAGCATCCAAAGGTGGCTTCAATTCATTGGTAACACAGGGAAAAAAAAATGATGTGGAGTGTTTCTGGGTGAATATCCCAGCAGATAAAACATGAGATCTCCCTGCTGCTGCAGGGCCTCAGCACCACCTGCTTCTTTCAGCAGTCACATCCATGATATGTAATAAAGTCCCTGTGACCACCAGGGGCCGAGCGATGCACACCGGGGGTCTTAAGCTGCCAGCATTAAAATGCCCTCAGGATTTCTGGAAAAACAAAAAGAAAGAAAAGAATTTCCTAATGATAAAATATTGCCTTCAACGTGAGGGAATTCCCTGCTATACCTCGTCCCGACAGGTGAAGATGGATTTCTCCCTGAACTAGGCATGAGCAATCATGGCTTGATTACATTTGTTACGTGCAAATGAAGCAAAGCTTCAAAGTTATATACATATACATAGATATATATAGTTGGCACTTTAAAAGGTCCTGTTTCACAAAGCAGAAAATAATTACAAGTGAAATCAATTTGGGGAAAGAATTTAGATGAAAAGTGTGCTGGAAAGGGAGAGGCCTTTAAGAATGTTTAACCCCCAAAGCAGTAATGCAGGCAGAAACCTTTGTTAGGAAACACAGCATGGCTTGGAAAGGAGCTGCCAAGACCAAGACATAAAATATAAACAGAGAAAAAGAAGGAAAGGGAAACTGTTAGTAATTAATAGACCTCGGATGCAGCGGGAAATTAAAGGCAGAAGGAAAATTTCCAAGATTTTCAAGAATCTCACATCAACGTTGGGCCAATACTACAGAAATGGGGGATTTATCAGCGACGCAGAAATGCTCAGTGCAAGTTTCCTCCTGGTGTCTGGTTGAGAACAGACAAGGTGCTGACAAATTGCTTTCCAAGGGTGCAGAGGAGGCACGATGAGATCTGTGGACCTGTGGGTCTGAATAACCTGCATGAGTTGTGTGGGAGGTGGGCAAGGAGAGCCGTCTAGAGAACGAATGGGGATTTTGTTCCAAGCAGGTCTTGGAACAGTCACCAAAAGCAGCAGAGTGTTGGGAGGAGGTCAGCACTGCGCCCACCAAGGATGGTGTCACAATGGGCACCAAAGATCCCCAGGCTTTTATCGTGGCAGGGATCCCTGACAAGTGATGTGAGCCAGCACCCAACCTGACGGGTCAAGAATGAACGGAGGGCAATGCAATGAAAGGTGAGCAGCAGCTCAGGGCGAAACAAGGGTGGTAAAGTCACTGAGGAGTCACAGGTTTGTCAGGGGGAGACAGTGTTACTGGTACAATACTTTCAGCTTGGTGGTCACACGGATGGCTCCTTGCCAACACCAAGCAGTGCCCTCGTGCCCCCAGTTCCATTGGCTTGGAATACACAGCCTTGGATACGTGCTTGATTTTCGTTTTTGCTTCCTGCTCGTTTCCTCCTCCTGTTAATTGAACTCCAGGAGTAAACCCTCACTTGGTGTTGTCCCCAGGTTTTCTCCTGTCTGCTTGGTCTCTAGCTAAATTACCCCCGAACCAATTAAAGACCAGAAAGATGTTGCAGCAAGCAGGACTGCTGCTAATCTTCCGGTACACTGCAGCTGATGAAAGTGATTGAAACGGTTGGAAATTACATTACTTGAAGGAGGTCAGCCTTCGAGTTGTAAGTAGCATTTTTCTTTTTTAGTATGTGGCTGCTTCAGTGCTAATAATCTCTC